CCCACTTCTATAAGTCGAAAGGAGACTGCGACCATACCAGAGGCCACAACATCTTGGTCTTCACATCTTCTCGTAACAGATGGTTTTTGACTGTGACGATGTCCGTCGCATGACGAACGAAAGCTCAACACCGATCCTGATGAGTCGCAGGATGGTGAGGCGAAGTCTTCTTTGCATAGTCCAGCACAATCTCTTCCTCCCGCCTCTTTAGACGAAACTAAAGGTACGCTAGCTTTTCGCCATGACTACCTGTGCTTTCACTTTATTATATCCAAGTCACTAGAAGATCGGTCACTTTCTTGTGGCAGGGTAGGTACCGGAACATCACCGTACGCTGTAGAACCCCAAGGAGCCAGGTGCAGGAAAAGCCAATCTTGAAGCACCTCGGAAGCTAGTTTCCCCACGCCCATTGGCACCCGGCACGAAAGGATAATCAAAATTGCCTTGAAAAGAGGGCCGGTGAGCAGTAAACTGGTGTGAGGTGCACCCCTTCTGCCTCGAGACGACGAGGCGGGAGGAACAGCTGTTTCGTGGCGAATTGAGATGAGGTTTGTGGGTCTTCAGAGGCAGCGTTACTCGAATTGATGCAGGCAGTCTGTGCTGGAGTCGACGCTGTCCTCTGACGGCAAGAGAGGACCTCCTATCGGTCTCCTTCTCGGATGGGTAATCAAACTCCCAACCTCCACCCCCTCGGAAGCAGGAGGACGGAAGAGCAACTCGCAGACTGTTGCAGACGTGCGAGACCGACAAGAGACCCACTTTGAGCACTCGCATGGCGCAATCGGTCGGCAAGTTGCACTTCTGCGGCCGTGGGTTGGGGAAAGTGTCTGAATTTGTTTTCTGGTGGCCGGCTCTGCCTGCCTTCCTGCCGGAGCCAAAGTCGCATGAGGCAAAGTTATCCTCCAATCTCCTGTTCATTAGATTTTTCTGCCCAAGGATGTCAATTGCCTTGTGTTGTCATCGTATGAGGCTCTTCGTTCTGTTGCTAACCAGATGTGTTCCGCTAGTTCTGATCTTTCGGTATCTATTTTCCTGCAGAGCCTCTGATGTTCCTTGATTCGGGTGCCAATTTTTCTCCCTGTTTCGCCAATATATTTCTGTTGGCAGGCGCCGCATGATATACAGTAAACTCCTGAA